AAAGATGAGCCTGGGAGCTTAAATTCATTACTGGACACTAAAAAGCATGGACTGAACAAACACACTGGATTTATGGCTTCTTACAATAATTTATAACCCACCGACCCCCTCTTTTTGTCCTATGACTACAGAGGTGTTAACGGGCCACTTTACCTTAAATGGTTCCTTTGAATATGTGCTAATTACTTATGCCAAACAATATGCTCCACCTTGCATTTTACCGTGATGCTGGGAGCACCTTTCCCAGACCTGAAGGAGAGCTCTGTGTGGCTCAAAAGCTTGTATCTCTCCCCAACAGAAGTTGGTCCAATAAAAATATTACACCACTCACTTTGTCTCTCTAATGGGTTTTTAAGGCATTCAGTAGCGATGTAATTAACAGACAATTTACATGCTCAAGTATTATCTTATTTGCATGTGTCAATGTGCGCAATAAATGAACTTGCATTTTTGTGGCCATCTCTTGTATGCCCTTCTTTGAATTTTCAGCAGTGTGCACTACGAAAAGTGGCAAATAAGCTGAAGGAAAGTTTTAATACTGTCTAGGAATGAGTGCCTTACCCTGCATCCCCTCAGTCACGTAAGTAGTTCTCACTCATGCTAGTAGACCTAGCAAAGTCAATGGGGCTACTCAAATATATAAATGGTAGCTGTCTAACTAAGGCTGTGTTGGATCAGGCAGCTCAGGTTTCATCTAGGATCAGAAATGTAGTAGGAAGAGAGACTGAGACATAAGTCCTTGTATTAGAGGCCTGGCATGAGACAGGATCTCCTTACAGAATTTGGCAAGAACAGGGCTAATATTGCAGAAATACACATTCCTAAAAAGTGCTAGTTACAGAGTGCTTACGCAAACACATCCCAATATTAAGGGACCAGAGCATTTTGATATTAAGGATGATACAAAAACATTTCCCACGGATAACAGAACATACTGATCTCTTTTAAAAGATAAGGTTATGATGACAGTACGTAATAAAGATGTTTTAAGTAAATCAACATGTACAAAATAATGGGTAATAACTAGCGAAGTCAGGGGGCAGTAACTAACTATGTCAAAGGGAAAGTACTAACTTGTTTGTATTGGGGTATAAAAATGTATCTCAAAGGGAGTATCTTTGACCAGCCTAGGGAGCAGTGGAAAGTCCCACCACTACCTAAGCTGCGTTCATTGTCATGAGCCTACATGTCTTCGTATACTCGTAGAGTCTGCCAGATGCTGTTACCGTGCCTCGCCAACAATAAACCTAGCCGGGTGCCTTTGCTAAAAACCAAATCTGTAAATTTATTAGGCAGTTTAATTAAGGTCTGCTATCTCCGCAGAGCTGGGACAGCACACTGAATAAACACGTACGCAGCCAACACCAATCATGTTGAAAAAAAGAGAGATAGCATCAGAAAAGTAACTGTCAAAAAAATCCCAACACACGCAAAATCCCTCCTTGGTATGAAACATATCTGTGTCCTATCTGTTTTCTGAATCATATCTGTATGTTACATGGTAGGAGCGCTTAAACTGATAACAGAAAAACCAGCTACAAGCTATGCTCTATTTCAAAGTTTGAAAACCAACGGTTCACAAAGAAAGCGCACAGTCACACAAAGATGAACTGCTTGAAAACTTTGATTCTATCCACAGCAGCAACAATTTCAGACAGTTTCAGCCAAACATGAACAAAAATAAACTCTCAGAAATCACTTCTCCCCACTGCAAGATTTTAACGCTCCGTCCAGCTGAACTCATATTCCAAAGGAAATGGCTGTCTCTAAGCAAGCACACACACACCACACTCGGCGAGGTAATCATCACCCTAGAATAAGCCACTCCAGCATCCTCACCCGCTCACGTTAAAAAAAAAATATAAATAAAAATAAAATAAAATAAAATAAAATAAAGCAATTTTCTGCTGAAATCTCTGCCACATTTCACAGCCAGTCATTTAGAAATCACATGGGAATGCTGCATGCATCTGCAAAATCGCATCTTCTCTCTCTCCAAAGGCAGAATGAAGGATAATTGTAAAATAATGACAAGTTTAAGAAATGTGCAAAACAGAGTAAAATTCCAAACTGCAAAACAGCTCAAATTTCATTTTAATAACACTACTTTGCACATATATAGCATCATTCATCTGAGGATCTGAAAATGCTTTACAAATAAGCTCTCAACATATCTTTGAGGTATTGTTACCCTTTTTTTCAGACAGGCAAAGTGACTTTCCCATGGTTATAAAGTGGCTTGCAGAATCTGGTCTAGAACCCAGCACTCCAGGTTATAGGTCCATACTCTAACCACAAGAGCCTCCTTCAACAGACAAGTCAAAACCAGACAATTCAACCAGATTTACTATTGTAGTGTGATTCACATAGCCCTCTAACTCCCCTAGACAAAATCTCAAAGCTAGAACGTTTCTTGTCTGCTTTCCTCCTCTAACCTCTTTACTTGTCCCAGTGCCCTGGGCCCATTCTTGTCTCCATTCTTACTCTTCTTTTTAACTTCTCATTCTCTCTAGCTCTTTCCCCTCACACTACAAACATTCTTTACTTTCTCCCAACTTACAAAAACCCTCCAATGACCCCCACTTGCCCCATCTCCCTTTTAATCTCTAAGATCATTGAACATGCTGTCGATAATCACTTTATGAAGTTCCTCACCCTTCAGTTCTGTCCCAGACCTTCCCAGCAGGGCTGGCTTTAGGCTGTTTCCCCCGATTCCCCCAAATCGGGCCCTGTGCCTAAGAGGGCCCCACGCCCGTGCCTAAGAGGGCCCCGCGCCCTAAAGAAGAGTGCCTAACTTAGGCGCCTTTTTAAATTTTTGCTCACCTGGCGATGGTCCAGGTCTTCGGCGGCATTTCAGTGGCGGGTCCTTCAGTGCCGCAGAAGACCCGGAGCGAGTGAAGGACCCACTGCCAAAGTGCCGCCGAAGACCCGGACCGTCACCGGGTATTCGAATCGGGCCCCGCACTTCCTAAAGCCGGCCCTGCTTCCCAATCCAGCCTCCACCCCTAGCACTCCACTGAAATCACTCTCACCAGTTTCTAATGACATCTTCTTCACCAAAACTTAGAATCAATATTCCGTCCCCATACTCCTTTAACTTCACCAGCCACCTTCAACACACTTGACCATGCTCCTCTTCTTGAAATCCTGTCCTCCACTGGCTTCCAGGACTCAGTTTTCTCCTGATTCTCCCCTACCTCTATAATCGCTCCAGTGTGTCCTCTGGAGGGTCCTCATCCTCCCACTGGTTTTCTGTGAGGGATTCCACAGGACTCTGTCCTTGGTCCCCTTCTTTTCTTTCTCCCCATCTTATCTCTGGATAAAGTCATCCACAAATGCGAATTCAACTACCATATCCATTCTGACAACTTACAGATCTCCTCCTCCAGACCTGTTTCCTTCTAATCTCCCCGCTGTTCCTCTCTGCTACCTCCTTTCTCAATTGCTGTAGACAGCACCCCCATTCTACCTGCCTTCTTCAGCTTGGCCCTCTCTCTAGGTCCACACATCTAGACTATGTCTACATCTTGCTGATTCTTTCTGCATAACATCTCTATGATAGGGCCTTTTCTATCCACACACAGCTAAAACTCTTTGTCCATGCTCTCATCATCTTGCATCCTTCTCTCTGGCCTTGATAAATACAACCTTGCCCCACTGGCATCCATTCAGTACGGTGCTGCAAAGATTTTCCTAGCTTGTCACTTTGAACATGTCACTCCTCTCTTTACATCCTTCCACTGGCTCCCCATTTTCTATCACATCAAATATAAGCTACTTGTATTCACTTTCAAGGCCTTTCATAGCCTACATCTGCCCTACCTATCATCTCTCAGTCACTTTGGAGATCTTGACTCCTGCCTCATGATGCCAGCCTCTATTGCCCAGTTGTCAAATTTTCAAACAAGCCGCTTTGTACTTTCTCCCATGCTGTCCCTCATTTGGGAGGAGCTCCCAGTAAATATCCACAAAACTGACACACTATCCTCCTTTAACACCCTCCTCAAAACTCTTTTCCCATGATGCCTCCAAAACACTTGACAATGGTTAAGCTGCTGATGGGCTGAGACCACTGTCTATCAGGCTGGCCAACATTGTCTCACTGTTTCCTTGTCTTTGGGACATGGACTGTCTTTTTGTTCTGGGTTTGTATAGTGTCCAGCACAACGGGGCCCTGGCTCGTAGATGCTACGTTGATACAAATAAATCACCACCACCACCCAGATCCTTTCCACCACATGAACACAAAGTGGAGTGTTTTCTGGCCTTGGCTACACTTGCAGCTGTACAGCGCTGTGAGGTAAACCTGTCTTCGTACAGCTGAGTAGGGAAAAGCGCTGCAGTCTGGCCACACTGACAGCTGCCAGCGCAGTGGTGTGGCCACACTTGCAACATTTGCAGCTGTGTTGGGAGCGGTGCATTATGGGCAGCTATCCCAGCATTCATGTGGCTGCAACGTGCTTTTCAAAACAGTGGGGTGGGGTAGATTGTGACAGGGAGTGTGGGGGGGAGAGAGAGTGCTTTTTGGAGCATGTTAGCTCTCTATTTTGCAAGTTCCGAACTCCCGGCCCCCTGCTCATTCATTTACTCACTCAAAGCCAGCTGCAAACTGTTTGCTTTTCTCTGTGGTATGAGCTTTGAAACCGGCACATCCGCATTCCTGCAGCCGGTCACAACAATGGAGAGGATTGGCCACTTGACAAGGTGATTAGTACAGCCCTGCAAGCGTTTACACTCACACCTGTGAGTCGTAGCCACTCCGCTGCAGCTGTTATTCCTCTCAGAGATGTGGAGTACCTGCAGCGGTGTACCCAGGGAGATACAGCGCTGTAAGTGCCCTGCCAGTGTGGATGGGGAGTGAGTTACAGCGCTGGGGGAGGCTTTACAGTGCTGTAACTTGCAAGTGTAGCCAAGGCCTATCTCTACTGAGGTAACAGCTTTAGTAAAATACAAGCAGTCCCAGCCAGTAGCTCTACAATGGAAGCAAAGCAGAGACTTACCTCCTTTTGATGGTGAGCATTGCTCCTAAGAGGATAATAACAAACATCAGAAGGCCAGCTATAACCCCAGCCATTTTCACTGTGTTGTCAGCTTGCTTTTCGGGCTCCACTGCATTGGAATTCTGGGTGGAAGCTCCTTAAAAGGTAGGGGGAGGAAGGAAATAAAAATTAGAACTTGTAGAAAATATCCCACAGTGATCAGATTTTAATAGTTAAAACCTAATGATATACCTATAAACAAATTGCAGCAGTCAAATTGTCCATCTAGCCTGATCTACTGCTTTCAGCAGTGGCTAGTACCAGATGTTTCAGAGGGAGGTGTAAAGCCTCAGTATAACACACCTGATTAATTTTACAATATTATACTATAGGGGAAAATGTCTTTTTCAGATAGCAATCAGCTTATACCCAGAAGCAGGAGAATTAATAGCAGTTATAATTTTAATCCTACATAATTTAGCTGCAGGTGCTAATCTTAGGGACAGAAACAACAAACAGCACAAAGTTTACAGTGAAGCATCCCCATAATAGTTTTGTAGCAACATTTTTTCTTCTGCAGTCAGAAAAAATATGTATTTGCCACTACACTGATTACACATTCAACAAACATTAATCCAAACATACAAAACAACCCCATCGCCCACTCAAATCATCTACTTTGTTCCATGTATGAGTTCTTCTGTCTTTGGCAAGGCAACACAATTTTCACCTCAACAGAAAATGTACACTGTGGGCATTTAAAAATCAAATATATTTATAAACTTACTCTTTGAAAAGCATTTCCTCTTTCACTTACTTGCCAAGGTCTGACTTCAAGGTTCTGATTCCCCTCCAATAGTTGATCACTTTGTAGAATGTGGCTGCCCAATTATTTAGCGGTGCTACTCATGGGAAGCCTATTACACCTATGTTGTGTAGACTTCACTAGCTACTGCATTGATTTCCTCCCAGATAAAATTTAAATGTGTTGAGTTTGATCCAGAAAGCCTAAAGGTTTTGTGTGACAGTCTATACTCTTATGGTCATCATTTTTACAAGACTATGATAAATTTTGTACAAAGTATGTCTTGTAAGGTACCATTTGAAAAGTCATAATCTGTTGAATATCATTATTGTGTTAAAATATGTGTAGTGACACTATATGTGAGGTTATAAGATTCTACTGTATGATTGTTACTGAAATACATAGAAATTCTGGGGTCCTACATACCAATTTTTCAGAGACAAAGATACTCTAGCACCCCAGACTTGTGTTAAAGGGGCATCACCTACTTAAGCGACCATCCTTCAGCAGATGGGAAGTATAAACAAGACATTTACAGTTCATCACAGGGACGATTCAAAGCTCACATCCACAATGGTCTGTGCATCACCATGACTCAGCACGGATGTTTCTAGCACAAGAGATTGAATTATAAAGAAGGAGGAAAATATTTAACTTCATCTCTCCTCCTCCCATCTCTCTGATCATGGTATCAACTCTCAAAGAACTAAACTAAGACAGAGTGGTCCCAGGCTGAAATGACACCCAGCCTGCGAAACAACAGCGTATAGGGTGAGACAAAAACTTTGCTTTTACATTCACTTTGCTTGTTAAGTTAGGTATTAGCTTGCATATTACTGTTTTATTTTCTTTTGTAACCAATCCTGACTTTTATGCATCATCACTTGTAATCATTTAAAATCTATCTTTCTGCAGTTAATAAACTTATCTTATTGTTTTATCTTAACCAGTGTGTTTGGATTAACCAATGTGTGGGAAACTCCTTTCGGGATAACAATGCTGGTGCATATATCATTTTCCTTTGATGAAATGATGGCCTTTCTATAAGCTTGCATTGTTCAATAGTTTGCTGGACAGTACAAGGCACATATTACTGGAGGAACAAGGTTGGGACTAAGAACTTGCAGGTATTGCCCTGTACATAATTAATGAGTGACTGGTCAGAGCACTCTGGGAGTGACTTTGCATGCTGATGGCTGTGTGAACAAGCCAGGAGTGGGTGTTCTGACAGCACAGCAGCATAAAAGACACCCCAGGCTAGAGAATTAAGACAACACAGCTGTTCAACGGTCCAGATTGTACCCTGGGTAATGTCACATTTTGAATCTTGGTTGCCTTAGAGACTACGGGACAAATGCTGATATCAACTGCATTGTTGCTATTATTTATTTAGCTACTGATACAATATCTGACTTCATTGTGGTTATTTGAATTTACAACCAAGATCACAGCCTGACTGCATGAGCTATCTTGTCTGTTGAAGTCAGCTGGCTCCTTATACGTGCAGCTCTCAAAGTTGAACACTTATAGGTTGGGAAAGGGGAGCAAGGGTGGAAAGCAAATTGTTCTCATTAGAAGGTTCTGAAGTTTGCTTCCCTGATTGGTCTGACACAGCCCAAGTGTGCTGACCTTCAAGGAAAGTTGAATGGATTCTCTGTTCACCAAGACTAGTTAGTGACACAATTGGGAGTCTCATTGATTAATTTTTGTCATCTTATTATTTTGTCATGTGCTTTAAAAGGTTGTACTGGCAAATATGAATCACAGTGGATACCTCTGCCTAAATAAAACAAATAAAGAACACACAAGATGTAAATAAGTTCCTACTGGCCAAACCCTGTCCAAACTGATGGACTTCAATGGGATGAGGATCTGGCCCTAAAACAAACAGGAGATGCTGTTTCAAGAGGCTGTTTTCTTCTCGTCAGCTGTTGAAGGGCAAACATGGACCAATGACAAGTAAATAAAGGAAAAAACTAATTTCCAGACATTTTGTTTTCAGACACACATGTAAATTTCAAATTCTACACTAATGGGCTAATAGCCTAAAATTTGATGTGAAGCCAGAGAGAGTCAGACTGGCCCCCAAAGTTCAAGGGTGCTTAGAACCAGAATTCTGATGTGAAACTCTCTTTACTCCACACCGTGTAGCCTGAAGGAGCTTTTTTGTCTTTTATGTTTGAAAGTTCTTCTTTAAAATTCATCCCCACACTGACTTAATAATGTGAACTGGCCAATCGCTAGAGAGAGTCCACATGATGCATTGTGATGGACGGAGCTTGCTGGTGGTTAGGGGGTTAGACCTTTGTTTACCATGCCTCTAGTCTTTCCACCGGGACACTTTCACACCGGGTGGAGGTCTGTCTTTTATTGGGGATTGACTTGACCCTCTGGTCAGGTTATCACTCAGTCTTATCTCCCTGAAGGACCCTGTAAGGGTTACCAAATGTCCAGTACACAGGAGTGCCTTACAGTTGCCTCCCTGGGCTCCTTCCTACCACCTACTCTCTTGTCAAAGTCTTGCAGTCTGTCTCACAGTAGTGAGAGAAGAGGTACTAGTTGAACCTTCAGCCCCACTGGGCTCAGCCAACAGGTTCTTCCTCTCCAGGAGTAGGTTTCTGTATTGTCCTTTCTCTGGAGCTCTCAGGGTAGGGCCTTCTCTCTGCCTTGTCAGGCCAATTCAGAGCTGTCTGGCTCCCTATTAAGCTCCACAACTAGCTGAATCATGCTCTGCAGGTACAGCTGGGTGGGGTCACCTTGTTCCAGAGTTGCTCCTTAATTAATCCTTTTAGTTGTAGTGTCGCATTTATACACCCCATCTCACACACATCCTACTAGGTGAGGTTGAGAATGTTTCTGTGAATCACTTATAGAAACAGATGTCTTTTCCCCTGCAGCCTCTTTCTGGTTACCAATGGGTGATGTTGACTTTTCATAGAATGATAGAAGTGTAGGACTGGAAGGGACCTGGTCTAGTCCAGCCCCCTGTATTCAAGGTAGGACTATGTAATAACTAGACCATTCCTGACAGGTGTTTGTCTAAACTGTACTTAAAAACCCACAATAACGGAGAGTCCACAACCTCCCTAGGCAATTTGTTCCAGTGTTTAACTACCCTGACAGTTAGGAATTTTTTTCTACTGTCCAACCCAAACCTCCCCTGCTACAATTTAGGCCCATTGCTTTTTGTCCTATGCTCAGAGGTTAACAAGAACAATTTTCACCCTCCTTCTTGTAACAAACTTTTATGTACTTGAACTGTCATCATGTCTCTCCCCAGTTTTCTTTTCTCCATACTAAATAAACCCATTTTTCCCCAATCTTTCCTCATAAGCTGAAGCTTTCTGCATAAGTTTTCTAGATCTTTCATAATTTTGGTTGCTCTCCTCCGGACTTTCTCCAGTTTGTCAACATCTTTCCTGAAAGTGGCACTCAGAACTGGACACAGTACTTTAGCTGAGGCCTTGTCAGTACGGAGTAGAGTGGAAGAATTACTTCTCAACTTTTTGCCTCATTTGAATGTCCTCAAATATTATGAGACAGTTTTGAATGTTGGTATTTCAAATTTCATTCATCAAATTTCAGCACTTGGCTGAGACTGGTTGCATGATGGACGTTACAAAGTTGGAGTCTCATAGTATTTCTTTTTGTTTAAAATACCTTATTATATTGTCAGGAGTTCAAAACCCTCTGATGTCTGAAAACAAACATTTATAAAAGCTATCAATTTACAGTAGCAATATTTTGAACATAGCTTATGTATTGCCATATCAAATTGTCAAATATAGTGCCATCTGCCAGAGAAGTGCTAAAGATTCAAGGTGAGATTATGAGGCTCTTTTGAACTCTTCTGACAGTCTTTGCAGTTATCATAGACCCACCTATAGATCTGTATAAATCAATCAATCAGTTATATGCTATAATACACCTTTGAGGCTGTAACCACATCTGCTTTAACAGGCATAACAGCAGTTATCTAAAGGAAAACCTATGCCGTTACAGGAAGCAGTGAAGCATACTCAGGAGATGGCATTCTTCACTTTCAGTCTGGCACGCTGTCAGGGAATATTGTGCTTAGAAGGGTCCATATTTCAGATGAGAATTAAAATTGAGGGCCTCACTACTTGCAATTATGAAGACCCTATTGCGTTTTCTAACAGAGTTGATTAGTGTAAGAAATAATTCCTGTGTACGTACAGTTGAAAAACATTTTGGGATCCTTCAGTATGAAAAGTCATAAAAAAAAATAAGGAATTGAAAATAAAATATGTATAGTGGGATTTACATAATTTCATTTGAATGTTGTCTCTTAAGGTCTTGGAGTAAGGTTGGATAAGAGTTACAGAACATCC